TAACCTTGTTATACCGCAGTAAATGCGGTTTATATATTTACAAAACATTAACACTTGCATTAACAGTATAAACACTATAACAACATGGGGGGGAAGTTACATTCAAGACGAAACAATATCATTTGCAAATGGATTGTGGGATGGGTAGTTCCTAGACTCCAGAAGAAAATGATGTACACAGTCTTAAACCTTTGCCTTTTTCTATGTTTTTTGCGCTGAATCAAATGTTTAATAGTCACGCGTATAGGGGTAGCTGGTTGTCTTGGTGCCAGGCTTCAATCTGTTGATATAATGATTTTGTGAAATGTCAATGCAGGATTTGAATCGGAACATTTACGTCCGGAACTAGAGCCATCGACAAAGTGGGCCGTCACTGTTGAGCTCTATTCACCACTTACAACACAATATAGGACCAAAAGAGAAAATATCTCAAATTTGGACCTTCCCAAGAAAAAGCTGCAAAACACCATTTTTCTTTGCTTGGAAACCACCAACATACCTTATAATTATTATTGCTGTACTGGAGCGTTTGATTGACATGATCATCATTGTTTAGCACCAATACACCAAGTCAAATTCCTTGTATGTGTAAATGTACTTGGCAATAAACCCCCATTCTGATTCTGATTCTCAGTAGATTGATTGTACATCTCTACACTTTTCAAAACAGGCTTATGTATGTGATAGTTGTCATGAGAACTTCTCACAGCTAATGTATTTGATATTTCTGTATAAATCTGTGCTGATTCATCTGTTCCATTTTATTCTCAGGGAGAGGGAGAGTTTTACCGAGTGACGATTTGCCGCCAGCACCGAGGGGCCACGCGGCCTCGGGTGCAGGGATCTCAACAGGTAATGATCCTACCGCAGGTTCACCTACGGAAACCTTGTTACGACTTTTACTTCCTGAGTATGTGTGCTTATGTGGTCAAAATGGACCCAGCTATCTTTTGTATATTTCAGAGATTAATATAGATGATATTTTAAAGAATCTCAGGACATATTTTTGTAAAGAAATCTAGTTGCTTTCTGTGTGCGGAGATTTCCAATCAGTGACCTAACCTGCATAATATTGGTAAGCTGGATGTAAATCTACAGAAAAGATAAAGTATGCTTTTAGAAACCTGGCCTAAAAGAGCTTTCACCAGCATCCCCAGCTTCTTAAATGAATTTCTTCAGCTGTTCACTGATGATTGGTGCTTAATATGTGCAGTGCAGGTTTTCAAATTTAAGAGCCTGAGAGGTGAAACAAATGCTAAAATGTTTTAAAGGGGGGAAAAGGAGCAGTTGTCAGACATTTTGGCCTATGCACAGGAAGTTAGCTAACCACAGACGTTTGCAAAAGACTCATTCGTGTTTCCGTTTTGAAGTGGCACTGGATTGCTTCAAAACAGCAGAGAGGATGCTACTTCATGCTCTGAATGTTTCGACTATAAATTGAAGACACATCTACTGTAGCTGCCTTTAACACACAGGGATTTACAGTGTGCGTACTACGTCTGTCTATATTCACATAAAGCATTGTGTGGTAATGATGTGTGAAATATCATCAATGTATCAAACTCTTCAGCTTACTCTTTGCTGATTTTATTCTATGCATACTGAACTATCATGTGCAAATTGCTGAACCTGCTTCATGTTAAATTAATGATCCTGGGGGGTCCATGGAGTAGCCTGGCTATAAAAGCTCTAGGAGCAGGTTTCCCCTGCAAGGCAAATGAGGCGTTGGGTTCATCTATCTGCACATGTCCAGTGAGAGGAAGATGGTAACCCAGGGAGGCATCTGATGTCTTAATGAAGTGACTTTCTCTGTCTGCATGTGTGTGTGTGTGTGTGTGTGTGTGTGTGTGTGTGTGTGTGGCGTGAGGCTGTCATTAGTGAATCCCAGTTGGGTGTTATGGTAGTAAGAGAAAGCACAGGACCTTCTGTCTCTTGCCCTACTGGAAGAGGAATCAGATTTCCTGATCAATGGGAGTCATAAAAAAAATCAGTTATTCCATAGAGTAGAAGAGGTAAAATAAAATAATTATAAAAAGCTCTTGATCCAATCAGTAATCAGTGTCCCTCTCATATACTCTGTAGGCCTACCGATTGCTGTGATTTATGGGCAGAAGTTAAAATATATTTATTCATACACTAAGGATACGAGATGCTTCATTTTATTCCCATTTCTGCACAATTTCTGAAACGCAATTCAATAAATAGCTTCAGGAACCTCATTCGCTCCAGAACTAGCCATTAAGGAGAGAGAGAGAGAGAGAGAGAGAGAGAGAGAGAGAGAGAGAGAGAGAGAGAAAGACCAGGCACTAATGCCCACCAGTGATAATGGATTACTGATGTCATAATGGTTTAATAAGGCCCCTAAACAACATCCACTGATCCACTGCCAGAAATAAAAAGAAAAAAACAGCTTTCCATTAGGGACTGTGGAGTAAATAATGTGAGTAAATAATATACATTTACATACCGTGTATCTTCCACTAATTAGTATTATAACATTAATGAATGGGCACCCCCCTGAGATACTTTGAAGCAAGCATGACAAACACATTGGATTGTATTTGTAACTTCTCAAAGGTATATCTTGCTGTAACCAGTTACCTGCTTTGTTGGTTTACTCATTATGGAAATAGGTATTTATTTTTTACTCGATTAAGTTAGCCATGAAGCTGTTACAAATACATCTAAATGCATTTAAGACAACACATACAGTATACCTTCACAACCTCATGGCGCAAGGATGCTCATGACCTAATGTGGCATTGTAGAAAATTCCCACATTTTACTACAAGGCTATTTCTGTACTGCAGTTCTGAGAAGGCCAAAATTAGAGCTCTCTTTTTCACCCAGGGAAGGCACAAAGAAAGGTCTGGCACATAGCAGGCTGCAACACAGAAGAACGTGTTATAATATTTATGCTGTTTTTTTTTTTTTCCACTTTTGAGAATAATTTCTTCAGTTCAGTGCTGCCATTTCCATTCTTGTTCCTGGTAATATTTATTGTTCTAACTTAAATTTAAAACTCTTTTTCATTTTTTTTTTAAAGAAATAAATAATTCCTATTGAACATACCTGGAATCACAATGTGGCATTCCCCTACACTTAGCACATTAATAATAATGAAAAAGACAAGTACAGCTGGGGATTTCTTCAACTGCTCTCACTTCTAATACTTCAGACAAACATGGTGGGGAAATGTACTGTTGACATTATGTGTCACTTCATCAAAGTGAGCACAAAATATAGCTGTTCTGCTGTGAAATTAGTAAATCACAACACAGATCATGTTTTTCTTTTCATTTCAAGAAATGTATGCCAAAAAAGTTCTGACCAAAAAGTAAAAAAAAAAAAAAAAAGTCATTTCATTTCACTGTCAGGAGTCATCCAAAACCTGACACTGTTCTGTCTGGTTAACAAATAGCATTTGATATTTGAGTCAGTCAGTTGTTGTTCCCAGCATGCATCTGTTTATCCCACAGTTACCCCCTCTTCCTATCTGCCACCCACAGTGACATGTGCATGTGTGTGGCAACCTCGAAACGACCTGCTTTCCCAACACTGCTTGTGTCTGAACAACAGGTGCATGTAAAAGCAGTGACAGGAACACACAAACACACATGTATGATGGACACATTAACAAAATAAAACCCCTGAGAGGTGTGGAGATAAATGCACGACAGACCCAAATGTAGGGAAAGAGTCACAGTATATATTGTCCTCCCTGGTTGTTGACATAATCCTGAACAGAGGAGACGAAAGCAGAAGCATGAAAAGAGGAGAGATAGGTAACAAGATGAAGTAATAAAGGGACAGTAACGTAGAATTGAAATCTTGTGCTACATTTCATAACACTGGGATTTCTCGCCTAATTTTTCCTAGTTCATTCTGCCAAGTTATGTCGCTTTAATTAATTAAATAACAAATAACTCTTCAATAGTTTTAGTACATGTCATTAGCACTGCCCACTTGGCTTTCTTTTAGGCAGAACTGCACTAGTACAACACAATAGCTAGCTTTAAAAAGATTAACGCATTCACACACACACAACACACACAAATATGGTGGAATGTGGTGACGCCAAAGGTTAGAAATGTAATTTTAAAAAGTGCAACAATCACCCAAAGACTACAGAGTCACACAGGGTCAGAAGAGGACTCTTTAAGCTCTCCATTAAGCCCCTTTGTAACACGCCAGGGAGCTTTACATAAGCTGGTAAAAGTGTGTGTATGTGAGCTAAGTGATGAAGTTAGTGTGTCTGTGCGCGCTTTTGTTTTCGGGAAAGCGTGGCTTCTGATGATTAGTCTGAACTGTAACTGACACACGGCTGGCCCCTGTGATCCTATCAGAGGGAGGGGGAACTGAAGATTGAAGATCACACAAAGGACACTGAGGACTCACGTTTGGTACTTTTCTTAAGACGTTTTGTTAAAATGTGGCTTAACAAGATGCTGGTGTCTATAAGGCTACATGACAATGTTTTATGTTTGCGTCCTCTGTTGGCAATAGAAGAAATTAAAAAGTTCCATACATCAATGCAGGTAATAAATATAAAGTGATGCAAAAAACTAATTTTCTCCACCTGTTGTTATTTCATCAAAATGATTAAATAAATAATGTAATTATTCAACTTGTTTGATCTGCAACTACAACGCATAAATCAGCCAGGATGTCTGCAGGTTTTAGAAACCTATAAAATGTCTTTAACTTCAACCAAAAAGTCATTTTAAGAACCTCTGAACACAGTGTAGGATTGATCAAAAACACATAAAAGCTAATCAGCCATGTATGCTCTGTTAAATAATTAAATGTAAGGACGCATCAAGCGGTATTGTGTTTGTGTAAGTCTAGGTTCTCTCTCTATAAGTTCATCTCGTGAAAATGGAGAGCAAGAAGCCTGTCCTGAATTTGTTAAGCAACATCTCTAATACCTGTATCAAAAAAAATGAATAGGAAAGAGTTTTGTCATTATCTTCTGCGGTCTGTGATGCTGTTTCTCTTACCGTGTTGTATCCGGCGGGTTCTTGCCCGTCTGTAATGAGTTCCCGCTCTCCTCGCGGGTTGACCCTCCTGAAGCGCCGTCTGGACCTGCGCTGGGATCCCTCCCTTTGCAGAAAACCGTCGTCCCCCTCGCTGCCGTTATCCACCTGCAATACACAGTCAACACCCTCCTCAGAATAGCAGCTTTTAAGGAATTTGCACCCACAACCTTCAGAGGTGTGTGAACAGCCAGACGACAGATCCTCACTGTTTGAGACCGAGGAGCACGGCTCTGAGCAGCTACGTTTCAGCAGCTCTGATTTTTGGGTATTTAAAGTTGAGTTTAGATTTGTACATCCTGAGTTCTGGGTGTCCTGTTCTGATTTTTGGTTCTTATATTCCAGCTCGGTTAATTTCTTTAAATCTGAATTGTCTTCCTTGAACGTGCTCCCGTCTGTTTTGCATGGCTCTGGTTCCTCTGAGATGGGGACCTGCTCCTCTGCTGGCTCCTGGTTGAACATCCAGTTCTTCCAGAGCCCAGAGAGCCGGTGCCAGCGGAGTACATTCATCCGGACACGAGGACAGGATCAGAACAACACATAAAAGCAGGAAATTCCAAGGGAAGGGAGGGAAAAACAGCAGGGAAAGACTCCTTTAAAAAAAGTTGAATAGAAGTCCTGAGAGATCCCAAAACATTATAGCCTCCCGAGCAAGAATCCAGAACAAAAGAAAAAAAGAAACACATTAAATAAACAAACAAATTTAAAATGAGGTGAAACCCGAAGAGGAAGCTCTTTTCCTTATCGTAGAATTGCCGAGAGTTGTGCTCTTCTGAAGCCTGAATAGTTCAAGACAGAGTTCAGCTGCTAACCACGTTGCATACTGATGGTCTTACTCACATGCTCTGCCTGCTGGTTCACACTGTCTGACACGCGCACATAGCAAACACTGAATCCTCAGTTTCCTCCAGGAAACCGTAAATACTCAAGTATCCTCGCCAGGCAGAACATAAAAAAAACCAGCACAATACACAAATTCCGACCATACAATTCATTCCCCATAGGCTCTTTGCGGCGGACTGTTGTTGCAAAAGGAATGTGTTTTCCTTTTCGGATTGCATAATCTTAAGAGTGTCAATAGTGTTGTTATGTCAGTGATGACATTATGTTAAAAGAAAGTTTTGAAATAAGTTTGTCATGCATGAGAGGACAGGATGCTTGACTCTAAGAGCCCCTTGTTTTTTTTCACTTGCATTTCATTTTCTTTCATTTTCACCGCTAAATGACACATCGTTTGAATATTTTTTAAGTTTTTTTGCTAGATTAAGCATTATTTTTTTCTTCCGATCAGATATTACAACCTTAATCTTTCAAGTTATGTTCTGAAACATGTCTAAAAATGTGTGACAATGTGAAGCTACCGCTAGGTGTTCATATGTTGCGTTACTCTCTCTTCTGCAACACCGTAACGCAATGTGAATTCACACACTGGGACACCAATATTACACCATTACAGATGCAATGTGTGAGTATGAAGGCGTTATGACGGTGGCACACACACAGCAAGCTAATTGTTATCAAACCTGTGTCACTATGGTAACAAACACAGACGTGGAGCTAACACTTTAAAAACCGTTATTGTTTGGTTAGGCTTTGGCAATGAAACTCTAAAAGATTGAAACTGAAGTAGTTTTACGTTGTTTTTTTTGCCATATGTAACTTTGACTTTTAGTCTGATCTCATTTAAACTTTATTTATATAGGACTTTACACACAACAGTGTTGATCCAAAGTGCTGAACAGCGCAGATGCTCACACAGAACACAACGACCTCTACGACCTATAGAAATACTTTAAAGATTAAAATTAGGGGAGGTCCCTAATAACTCGTACGATGCATCTGTTGATTCATACAACTCAAAAGTATTTTCTTTAAAGGTTGCCACAACCAAAATCTAACTCAGCAGCTGCTATGAGTTAGAACAGACTGAGGATCAACCTGATGTGAGGGAGTTCTGCTGAGTAATATACACAATAACTGCTGCATCGTGGGTACTTGAGCCTAAATGAACTCTATAACAACTGCAGGAGGGATAGTTGAGCTATAAAATACTAAATAACTTTTTTAAAAGGGGTCAATTCCGGCCTTAATATCTCCTTTCTTATGGCGAAAAACATAGGAGCCTCATGAGACACAGCCTGGAGGTAGAGTAGAGAACATTAGAGGGTAGAGGGGGGGGGGGGGTTGAAATGTTACCAGAGTTTCATGTCTATCCTGTGACCACATAACAGTCTTTTTGTCTGACTGAATACAACCCTAACTATCCCATGACCGGCAGTTATGTTGGCCATTCAGAACTCTGGCTTTTATGTATCTGACTGGCTGTCATGGCCATAATGTGACCGTACTTCCTGTTTCCTCTGCCCGTTTAAATGTGTGTGTGTGTATGACTAACTTCACATCTACTCATCTGGCAGTTTACATTCCTCTCTGTATCTGATTGTTTTGTGTCTTCATGCTTTTGCTCCTTTTTTATTTTGCTCCATTCCTTCTTTCCACTACTTACTTCATTCCAATATATTCCCACCACACACACGTGTATATATATATATAAAAAATATATATATACACAAACCCACACACAAAAACATTCACAACCCCACCCTGTAAGTCTGTGAATGTCACTCCTGTCCATCCTGTGACCAGCGTCATGAAGACAGACACAAATTACACTCCCTCCACTATTCCCATGGCCCTAATTAAATGATTGGCTGCAATGCAGTGTGACCAGACTAGACCACAGTCCCTCTACTCTAGTGTGTTTATACATTTATCCTGACGAGTGTGTGTGTGCACTGTGCATGCATGTGTGCGTTGTTGTACAATATATATTTCTATATGCGTTTGTTTTGTTAATTTTAATTGAAGGCATTAATGATTCGTTCTCAATGCTGAGGTGTTTCCTGGAAATAATGATGTCAGTCAACCAGTGGGGAATTGAAAAAGTAGTCAGTAATCTATCTAAATGCACATATAAATCAGTGCAGATGTGCGAAAAAAAAAAAAAAGGCAAAATATTTGTGCAGCTTCTGTGGCAAGATGTAACATCTAGAAGAGTCTGTCTTTAATGGCCTTTCTAAAAAGCTGAAATGCCTACATGGGGTCTTTCGGTTTATTTTCCGAGTTAATTGGATTTCTTTACAAAGATAAAACAGCCGGGTTTTTTTCTTAGCAGTGACCAAAACCTGCCATTAGTGTAAGTCTAGACAGAGATGTGCTGTCAAAGCCTCGTGGGAGAAACAAGCCGGGCAGTTTAATCACTACAGGGGTTTTATAAGCCTGATATTGCTTTTAAAAAATATAATGGCCTGTTTGCTCCTGTCTGTTGAGGACAATGTGTTTTTTTTTTTGTATTTATTTCAGGAGGAGTCATAGCCTGCTAACTTAAAGAATAAGATATTTTCCTGACTAGATTAGAACTGTCACAGCTGGTTTTATAAACAGTCTTGTATCTCAAGCCCCTGGACACCCTATATAATATTAATTAAAAGGTCCTATAATATGAACCTCACAAGTTCATGGCCACTCGTATTTATTGACCTTCATAGTCTTCATCATTATTTCACTTGTATTTTTAATATTGCAAATGTGTTAACCCTCAACAGCTTACGCAACTGACAACATCAACCTAATTCTGAATGTCAGTCTGTGTATTTTCTTCTATTTACACAGCATCCTTTTTATGATTAACATTTTCACTGTCACAGAACACTTGTATCTGCTCCTATTTTTTTAAGTTTCATCACAACCCAAAGACACGTGTTAACCTTCTTGAGGACTAATCACTGCCTTTATACTTTGGCAACCCTTACTTTAGCAAATTTTCTTCTTGTTTTTAAAAAAAAAAAATCACTTCCTACGAGTCTGATGACTCGCATCAAAAGTCCCACCCCTGTCTGCTTTAGTTTGGCTGCTACAGACCACTGTGCTGGATATAAACAACAGCAAAAGCCTTCACGTAATCTCATTTCCTATTTCTCAGACACAATGCTAATACTTCTTAAGTCCTTGTGTGTAGACACAGAAAAGCACCTACTCTTCTCCCCAAGGCTCTAATGATTCATTTAGTTTCTTTTAAGCACTCATCTCTTCTCCTCTCCTCTCCTCTCCTCTCCTCTTCTCCCTCCTCCTCACCCCCTCCATCACCAGCAACACCTCTCTCTTCATCTCTCTCTCTCGCTTCCTATTCTCCCCATGACACACACAGGGACAACGTTTAATACAAAACAACACAGTTTAATTCAAACCTTGTCTTATTCCGTCTCTTAAACTCTTATTTATTTGTTCCCCAGACAACTATACAATTGAAGCTTTCTTTTTTACCCTGCAGCATTCCTGACAGAATCACACCACCATACCTGGAAGATGATCCGAACCACAACCCCTTTTTACTGTAGCACCAACCTCTGAACAGATCAGCAGGGGTGGTTTAGGATTAAGTACCATGCCGAAAGGGACCCTCACTAAAACTCCTTCATCCTTACTGGACATTTTTGGAAGTTTTGCTTACAATGTTCCAAAGACTTTCAGTTTGAGTCTGCAGCCTTGAACAATTCTGTCAGGATAGACATCACAATAACAGCCCTTAAGCTACAGCAACTACAGTGTGGCCTTCATTCACTTATATAACTAGTGGCTGTCTACTTTTACATACCTCCCTTGAGATCACAAACTCTACATCTCAGCTGTTGGTTGCTGCTCTGTTATCAACCTTATTCATCAAACTGTCACGGTCCTGAGTTCAGTTGATGCAGCTTTGTACTTCCTGGCTCTACTGGAAGAAAAACAACATTGGTTGATGAAGGGAAAGTGTTACTCATGTCCCACACACTGCTGCAATTACCCATAGATCAACATTAAAACAGGTAATTCAATCAAACCCTCCGCATTTCTTCATTTTTGTCCCTCCTTTAAATCAATTACAAGCAGTAAATAAACACAAAATGCATGCATGTGTGAGTTGTCTTAATTTCATGGACAATGTTCAGCAACTAACTTATATTAAAAAGAATCCCAAACATAGCCTGAAGAACAAGCCAGTTCTTCAAACCTTATCAATCACAAAAGTATTAAGTCTGCTATTATAGACATCTTAATACATATCCATTCAATAGATGATGGTGATCATAATAAAGGGAACAATCCATATTTGGGAAGTTCTGTTTAGTAGCTTTCTTGCCAAGAGTTATACTAGAATGTCAAGACCGCTCTCAAGCTCTCTCAAGCTAACATAACTCTGCACAGAGACAGAGGGAAACAGCTAGCCTGTGGCTATCAGAAAACTACAGAATCCACCACACAGCACCTCCTAAGTTCACTTATTAACACAAATCTGTTTTGTTATAATCTACACATATTTCACATCAAACCAGCCCGCTCAAATGTTGAATTTTCTAATGATTGATTGATTGTATTCATTTACATGCCATGCACAAAAAGTGCCCAACCCTCATGGGTTTATTCCAGAAATTCAGTTGTAGTGTTTAACATTTCATTACATTACAAAGTTGCACGTTCCTTTCACAGCTCAGTCTTAAAGACTATTTTTCGTCTTCTCTCCCGGGCTTTGCGGATCAAATCTGTTCCTCTTCTAAAGCACAACTCAGGTTTTTCATAATCGTCTAACAATATAAATAATATCCTCATAGTGCTGATATGCCAACATTATGGACTAGCTGACACAGTTAATTAATACAATCCATAGAGTAAAAGCAGTTTCAGGTTTCTGCTGAAAAAGATTCGCTTTCTTCTTGTCTGCTGTAGAGGAAACATGACTTCCCGTAAACCGGGGGATTTGTCCCAGAAGAGAACTGCCTCAAGCAGTAAA